GCCCATGCCAGTATAATCATGAACTTTGACATATGGGAGCCGAAAAAAGTCACACAATAACTCTCTTCATGAGAGAATTTGTATTTATTAACTGTACTGACATAGATAAACTGAACAAAACAACGGGAATGTTCATACAAAATGTGCAACATTGCTTTACTTACTCTCATACATATCTCTCTCTTGCACTCAGTGCTGACATAATACAATGGTTCGTTTACCGTTACAAACATGTCGAAGTAACGGTTCTCTCTCATACCCAAATGTAAATTACCATCTTAAAACTAAGAACTCTATTTAATTCATCTATCCCCTTTTCAACACTAGTCAATATTCGTTGTTTTCTTTCTGAAAAATATATATGTATATATTTACCGTTCCTATTATTCAACTGTATTGTCTGTCTACCAATCACTACTTTTTTAGAAAAAATACCGCTGTGGCGATAAGGACAATATGCTTAAAAATCATCAACAGTACTAATATATCTTTTAAATAAAATAGATATTTAATATAAAATATCAAACAGTATGAAGCTAATGCAATAAAAGTTCAGATATTACATGATATTAATTAACAAACAAGCTGTTGCATGAACACACATACACGCGACAAGAATGTGACCTTTTTCACAAACATCCATGAAAAATACATCGTTGGATTTTGCTTCCAAGACAAATATAATAATATCACATGATTTTCTGTATATCGCTTAACGCAGAGCAACGATTGACGGTGCGTAGTGGATGCTTTCATAACAATTACTTGTCATAAAAGCGATAAAACCAGTTATGATAATAAGAGATTTCTGACCAGATATAATTGTCCGATTCCAACTATATCATGCGTGTGTTTATGCACCAATATCAAATTGTCATGGTAAAGGTGTTCGTGAAAAAATGAGCTTATCCAGCCCCATCGGTGACATTCTTCATAAACACACGGAAAGGCAAGTCAATTGTCCACTTGCAAAAACCCAGTACCTATACACTGTATTGTATATTCGGAATATGGAATTACTTTGGACATTACTTTGGTCATTGATACGTCAAACTTGATATGTCCACAATATGTCAACTAAAACATTTTCAGTGAGTGAGTGAGTGTTTTTAGTTTTACGCCGCTTTTAGCAATATTCCAGCAACATCACGGCAGGGGACACAAGAAATGGGCTTCACACATTGTACCCATGAAAAACATTTCGATATCTCAATGAGGCCTTGAACTTTGTAACGCTGATCAAACGTTTGAGCAGGATTTCATGTCAATTGGGACACTCTTTTACGTTAACCACGGCATATGAGGTGTTATTGCATGACAAAAATCCTTTAAAAAACAAGAACGTAAACAGACTTTTTAGTGCACTGAGCCCGCTGTTTTGTTACCACTCGTGTCCTAACATCTTTGAGTGGCATTTTAGAAGTTTGGAAGTACAATATAGAGAATCTTTATGGATAACAACTTCTTTATTTGGTGAGTGCGACGTTTCGATATAGATTCCTGTACCCCTGTCAAGCAGGTTACAACAATCACTACAGGAATCTGTATCGAAACGTCGCACTCACCAAATAAAGACGTTGTCCATAAAGTGTGTCAATGTTGCTCTCGAGTAATTCCGGGGTGTTTTTCTTGCAGTTGAAAGAAATAGGCGAGTTGCCACACATGTCTTTCTCTGGTTACTGAACGTTTGTTTAATTCTCGGACAAGCTTCTTACAGTTTACGGAAATGGCCGAATCATGACGACGCACCTGCACCATTCGTGTCATTACGGGAGAACTTCTTGCACGTTACGGAAGAAGTCGAGATGTCACGAATGTATCTGCACGTTGTTTTGTTGGGAGCGTAACGCGACACGACCCATTGAATAATGGTTCCATGTCAAACACAGACACACAATTGCCAAGTAATTTCCCCTTTCTTCCGCTCAGCTGTCAGACGACATGGGTACATGGCCGCGTCCTTCCTGTACAGACTACAGTTAATGTGTTTAATTCTTTTTTATGTCTTCTTTCCAGATACTGCTTTCCGTTAAACTGATTACAGCAATATGTTTTCTTCAATGTTGCGACAGAAAATGATGAAAAATTCAATTGGAAATGTTTCAGCAATCAGAACTTTGACATCTGTCGTTATAAAATAAATCATGAAAAAGACATGTTGGTTTGAAGATGTATACATTCTATCGAATGTGACATTATGATTGATACCAGCTGGTCGTGGGCTCAAAATTTATACTCAGATTGTTTTTAAACATTTGTAACGGATCGCATTTCACATATCTACCGTTTTCAATCACCATTTCATTTTCTTATTTCAGTTGTGTTTTAGAATTGGGAAGGATCCTATTTCAAAATATTAATTTGAGATACTAAATTTCATTGTCTTTATGTTTTAGCTAATAAATTAAAACAGTCAAGTAGTTGCTTACTTAGAAATACAACCGGTTCGATACACAGGCTGAGAAGTACGATTGCGCCGTACTCACCAGAAGGATCACAATTGATTTAACCAGGTGTTTGATTTATTGATCTTTAGTGAGCAACGTTATTTAAAAAAAATATGACCTTTATTTCATCGCTTAGTCAGCCCTCAATGAATATTCCTACGTGGTGTAATTTTAAGAAATATTATTGATTCAAAACTTAAACAATTAAAATTAAGAGTTTAAATAAAAGGTCACATAAAACACATCTTATCTTTAACGAAATGCCTTTTCCGCACAAATTTACAATATGAGGGGGCAAATATTTGCAGGTTCACCCCAGTCTTAGCTGAATCAAATTATTTTTAGCCCACACTGACCAGCCAAAGAATCCTTTTTACAAACTGCGACAAGAATGAGTAATGGTTTAGTACACAAAATCAATTTTGACAATAGGAGTTATGACAATTTACAATTATATGAGAAACAAACTTGGTGCACTTCCTTTTGACTCTCATCTCAGATGGGATTATGATATAGGGCATATCACGCGGACAGGTAAGTGAGTGAGTGAGTGAAGTTTGAATGTTACAGCAATACCACGGCGGGTGACACCAGAGCTAATCTTCGAACACTGTACCCATGTGGGGAATCGAACCCTGGTTTTCGGCGCAACAAGCAACCGCTTTTCCCACTAGGCTACCCCTACGCCCCACAAGTAAAGGGAGCATTATACATCGCCATTACAGTGCCACGCCACTGTGCTCGCGGTGAATTTCATTTTACACAAACGGTGACATAAGTAAATAGAATTGTTTCTCGAGTTATTTGATATACACTTCAGTACGCTTTGTAATAGAACTACTGAACAAATTTAGTGTTTTGAAAACGGTCTCCGAGTATGTTATCAGGGGGAAAGCGCCTACAATCTCTCCAAAATAAAGCTGCCCGTCTTGTTAGCCGTTCTAAGCCGTCCTGTGACGTACAGTTCATTCTGGATTCCTTACACTGGTTACGGATCCATGAAAGAATTGATTGCAAGGTACTCACTCTCGCTTACCAGTGTGTTAACTCCACGGCTCCCTCATACTTGTGTGATCTTCTCACACCATACACTCCTGCTCACGCCCTCAGATCCAGTCACCAACACCTGCTGGATCCTCCATCATTCAACCTCAAGACATTTGGTGCCCGTTCTTTTTGCTTCAGTTGCAACCGCACTATGGAACTCACTTCCACTTAAATTACGTACAGCTCCATCCCTTCAAGTGTTCAAGCGTAACCTCAAAACACACCTTTTCAGTCGATATAAACAGTAACTCTCTCCAAGCTCATATTTACTACAATACTGATTCATATGACTTTTTGATGTGTTTGTTTTTAAACATTTGTGCGCGTTTTGAGCATGCCCCTTTGTGGTATGGAGTATTGCGCAATATAAGTACCCTTATTATTATTATTATTATTATTATGTACCATTGACGAGACGGTAATTTAATTACTTTTAGAAGTATCGCCAAAGTGATTGTGACAAAGAATCTTAACCAAAAAATACTTCTTTATCTCATTGCAAGACCAGTACAGGGTTTCAGTTTTATATCTTTTTATCAACATAATTATGTAAGTATGTAAATGACATTTGATTGTGAAATGGACTCAACACATATCCTATCTCTTCTTGTGTGTATTTGTCGAAGCTTTGTGAATTAGCAAAGGTGGCGCTTACATTATTACATACGTTATTCATGGAAGGGGACAAGGAGTAGGTTTGACGACAACTGGATTCAAGGGATTCCGAATTTTGTACAGGATTGAGTATGGCTGACTGGAACTTTCTATACGGTAGACAAATGGACCTTCAAACTACGTATGGAAATATATTCAGTGGTAAACCTCGCGGGGGAGCGGAGTTTGGAGATACACGTACAGGGCATGTTCTACTTGACCACGCTAATGCGTTATGGGTATTCTTATAGTAGCCATATATGACTCAGTGCTTGCTTGACCCGGTAGTATCTGTTGAAGTATCCTAAACAGACTGGACAAAACGAAGCGGCTGTACTATATAGAACGTCATCCGTTATTGACAAAGATCTGGATTAGTCCAAATTCGGAAAGGACATATTGCACCTAGTTTGAATACAAAGATGCAGTATCTTAATTATTCCAAGAATGCGGGAAATTAGACAGTATAGTCATTTCCCAATATTTGCTGTATTTGCATAATGTTCGTCCCATAATGCCCTTGGACGTCATTTCCTGCTTGCCGTCTGTTGTATCTGGCACCAATGGTGTTCTGAAGACATCGCGCCTCTGATCGAGGTTTCCTGAATTTACACGTGCCAAATAACAACATAAGGTCCATGGATTCGAGACTTTGAAATGAAATACACGAGCTGTTCCATCAATGACCTTGTTCACTGTGAACAGAAACAGTTTAAGCTAGGACCTAATAGACAGAAAACATGTGGTGTTGCCATAGATTTCAAATGCGTCATGTTTGACAGATCAAACGTTAGTTTTGACCTTAGTGGAGCACACTGTCTTTACGTTGTACGTAGTCATCATGTAGTCATAATGACCTTGCATGGTGTCTCGGTGTGACGACAATGTCAACCGTGGTGTCACGATCATGGGACGTCAGTCATGACCTTGCTAGCTGGCACAGATGGTGTCTCGGTGTGACGACACTGTGGGGTTGTGCCGTGGTGTCCACGATCTTGAGACGTTAGTCATGACCTTACTCTGAGAAATTGACGATGTCTTGGAGTCTTGGTGTGGTGACCACAAGCATAATGTGAACAAATTCAATGTCTGCGACGACTTTGCAGAGAGACACAGACGTTGTCGCGGTGTCTTGTCATCCCGGTGTAGTAGTGACTCCCAAACCTCACCATCACAGCTTCCTACGACATCAACATCAGATTCAACCATCCCATACTCCAATGTTACCCAAGGCCGTTGAAGCTGACACCAAACTCTGTAACTTTCAGAAGCACCATTACTTTTCCTCATCAGGGTCAATGCTTGCTGAACATATAGTCTCTCAAACCATTCTTGACAAAGTCTTTGCAAACTTGGTCCGCCTGTCGGGACTTGTACATCATTGCCTTCATGATTGAGTGCTCCGTCATGGCCGTTGGAACCATCGAGAGAAAGTTTGGTAATGTCATAATGCCTTTTATTCCTATGTTGACATCTAAACCTGCAAAAGAGAAAGAGGTGTTACGAAAACTTGAAACTATGACGCCCCAAGCCCAAACCAAACCCAAAACAAGTGTTTGCCACTAATATGGCAATGTCCCCCGCCGCTAAAGAAGAACGAAATATTTACATATTTACTACTTTTTTATATTTTTGTTAGATAAAACATGCCTGAAATGACTGGTGTCTGTATAATCACCCAATGTAGGCTGTCAGCATAATTGAAAACATTGGGTACAACAGTTCATGAGATATCGCGTTAACAAGAATCAGGACGTACGTACGGACGGACGTACGGACGCTGCTGAATATAGGTCCCCGTTCCACGTTCCGGCGGGGGACAATAACACACAACACCTCCACCCCCCAACCACACCCCCAAACAACAAAAAGCTAACAAAAACACCCCCCACATCCCCCTAAAAAACAACAACAACAAACAAAAAAACAACCAAAAACAACAATACACCACACCAAAACAAACAAAAAAAACCCCCAAAATCAAACAACAACAAAACAAACAGAATATTCAACCAAAACAAACAGACAGCGACAATGAAAGGCAGGTTGGTCGCGTAATGACGAGTCAAACAAATATGCAAGTAAGTTCGTTGATCATGTTGGATGTCCAGAACATATTCCTATAAAATGCAGGGCAAAAAAGCATACATCTATGTTTGATGGCGGCTAAAAACACATGAACAGAGAGTGGAAGATGTTACCATGAACAGTTCCTGTTGGTCCACACATATATACGAAATCAAGCCTAGTAACGTTTTGATTTACTTCTTTAATTTTTTGGTCAAATGGAATTTTCAAGTGTAAACCTGGTATAACTGGAACAATTACGGGTGTGGCATTATGACAAGGCACATATCCATATTATATAGAACAAACTTTATGGATATATTCAGTGCGACGTTTCGATACAGACCTTGTACCGTTGTATCGAAACGTCGCACTCACGAATAAAAAGAAGTTGTTATCCATAAAGTTTGTTCTATATTGTACTTCCCTATTCTAAAATGCCACTCAAAGAAGATATCAATATTACACTAAACGTTTATCCGATCGTCAGAGTAATACATTTTCACATAAGCACTAACGTTACATAATCAATCAAGATCGTGTTCCTATATCGTTAGGTTCTCAGGCGGTGTATCTATACCGTACTAACACCTAAAACATGACCGGTCAAACAGATGGAATGAGGTCTTTTAGAAAGGCTTTGATCTTTTATCCATTACAGCCTAAGTGTAGTGGATAAAACGTCTTCAAAAAGAACAGAGGGTCGATGGTTCGTCACTTCGCGTCACACCGAACAATTTTAAAAGGTAGCTGGTACTTCTTGTTACCCTGGGTGGGGTTCTGGATTAGGGGGATATATTTATATATATTCAGTCTAAACCTACGTTTTCTGTAATGAGAAGAACGCAAATTGAAATATAAAGGTTCAGTTTTTATATCGTGCTACCTTTCCATCCATCTTAATTTTTCGGAAAACTTGCTCAGTTGAAGTATAGCTTCTGACAAAACATTTCACAATATTGCAAATGCCACAGCTGCTAAATGAGAAATGGCGCCACAGGGAGACTTTGATTAAAGTGTTTTCGTTTTAAGAAAAAACCCAAATCATCTGTCTTGTATTGAAGATGAAGACATATTACAACACTATTACCAATATGTCATATATGAAAGCATAAAATCATGTTTTATTCCATCCCGTTGCCATGGAAACAACACATTGGAACGTTCGTGAGAGTGAATTAGCAATATACCACGGTTAACGATTTAATATCTTGCAGTTTCACATACGTTTAAGAGACCTTGAGTTTATTTACGATGGCAAATATATGATCTTGGTGAATGCGTGGCCTTTGTGTTCCGGATTATGTACATGGAATATGGTTGTCAGACAAGCATTATGTCAACAGAATAGCGTCATTGATTCTATATTTACACTGAATGGCACAATAAATACAGGGTTCTCTAATAAAACATTTTTCCCTTGGGAAATTCATTTTTAGATGATAGTACATTGTATTTTGAAACAAAAGTCTACAAATATTTTTGCTGGTTGCTAAAATGAAACAAACGAGCAATGTTTATTCCATGATGGTGTATTTGATACGGATGTAATAGTTGTTTTGTTGAATAATTTTGAAATATTTCGGCGAACGTTTTAAGCTTTGTAAGGTTCTAATAACGTGTGTGGGGCGGTGGGGTAGCCTAGTGGTTAAAGCGTTCGCTCGTCACGCCGAAGGCCCGGGTTCGTTTACTCACATGGGTACAAAGTGTGAAGCCCATTTCTGGTGTCTCCCGCCGTGATATTACTTGAATTTTGCTAAAATCGGCGTAAAACCCAACTCACACACTCACTAATTGAGTTTGAGGTTTAAACATATTTTATTCCATTCAAGAACAAAGAAAAGGATTGGCAAACAACCCTAAGTGGCTTATATTAATGCCGCTCCATAATTCATGTGAAGGTTCACATTTATGCGTAATGTACATTTTTATAATAGTTATAACAAGTTATCTCTGAACATTAACAATCTTGGATATCAACAATTTATCTTGGTTTTGTTTCGTGGCCAGTTGATACAAATATGAAAAATAATAGAAACTACAAACACTTTTGTGAATCAAATCGTTTTGATGCAATAATGATTTGATGGACTGACCGTAGAGTATCCATATTCGTCTGATGTGATACTGAGTTATTACCATTTAGCACATCCCGCAGGGAGAAACCTTTTTTCATAGAAATAGGATTCGCATCGAATGCTATATTTAGGACAGATGAAAAAAGAGTGGAATACATCCTCATAATCTTGTGAGCAGGAACAAGAAGCATTATCAGAAATGAAACGATTATACTTATCACTGTTTAAGTCACTGAATCCCAATCTAAGGCGGCAATGTATTATTTGACAGAATCGACTACCAAAATTTAGATCGAACATTGTGTTGGTATTAACTTGTGGTTTGATTAAATTCTTAAACTGTCCAACAGAGGAAGCGTTTGTCGCATTTGTAGGTAGGTCATTCCACAGTTTAATTGTATCGGTCAAAAACGATTTGGCATAATTACTAGATTTGCATCTTATAGTCCGATAATTTTCATTATTCCTAAGATTGTAGTTACTGTTATCAGAAACATTCCCTGGAGCAAGATCACAAAGATAGTCAGGAACCATATGGTTTAACATTTTGTAAAATAATGTTAATTTAGAAATTTCTCTCCGTTTCGCTAAGGAAGTCAGGTTTGTCTCATGATATAGTTTCGCATGGCTTGTACCTCTAACTGCACCACATATTGTGCGTAAGGCATCTAAGTGAAGGTTTTCTAGTGACAAGGACTGTTCGTTTGTACAATTGTCCCAGAGATGACAGCAATAGTCAAATAGAGGTAAGATAAAGGATTTATACATTGTTTCGAGAGTTTTGTGTGATAGTCTGTATTTAAAACTACGAAGGCAATTAATCATAGGGCTAATTTTTCTTATCATTTCATTAATGTGGGAATGCCAAAGGAGGTTTTCCTGTAAAGTTCTGCCTAAATGTTTATGAATCTGCACTTCATTTATACGGGTACCGTTCATCGAGAGGGGAGGTTTCGTAGAAGGTTTGGTTTTGCGTGAAAATTGGATAGTTTCAGTTTTGTTTGGATTAAATTTTACTTGCCAGGTTTCTTCCCATTTAGATATTCTGTCTAAATCTGAGTTAAGAGTAAACGGACTCGCATGGGGATCATAGAGTGATGTGTCGTCTGCGAAAAGACGTATATTACTTTCGATTCCATCAACTATGTCGTTTATATATACTAAGAATAAAAGGGGTCCAAGGACTGATCCTTGGGGCACTCCGGCTATTATTGGTTTTAATTCTGATTTAAATTGAGTTTGTATTGTTTTGACTTGTTCAGATTAGTACGTTCTTTCCCCGACAGGTTTTTGGAAGGTTTTTGGTAGAAACAATGAAAGAATAATTATTGCTTTCCAATGTTAATGCTGTTCGCGGCTGAAATAAAATTACTGCCGGTTTATTTATAAATGAGTGAGTGAGTATGATTTTAAGCCGCTTTTAGCAATATTCCGGTAATATCACGGCGGGGAACACCTGAAATGGGCTTCGAACATTGTGCCCATGTGGGGAATCGAACCCGGGACTTCAGCGTGACGAGCGAACGCTTTAGTCACTACGCTACCCCACCGCCCCTTATTCATAAATGAGTAAAGTTGTTACCTGTGTGGAAATTGTAGCACCTTGCGGCGTCTCCCTCGGCGACAACAAACGTGTCAGAGTCTTCGAAGTACGCCACAGTCTCCAGTCTCTGCGACAGCTTGATCTCAAACAGTCGTGGGCTGAATTTCATTAATTTTAGAGCGAAGGAATCACTCAACGAATGTTCAGAGGTACTCTTGTAGGTGTTGAAACATTTCATGAAGATATTTCTCATCATCTGGAATGAAGCAAATAAAATAACGTCATGAATAACCCTCGTGGTCCAGTGGATAGAAGCTGGGAGATCGGAAGGTCGGTGGGTCGATCCGATGCCCCGTCACAACAGGAGGTGTTAAAGGATGGTTGTTGTTGTTACTCTGCCTGGCGATTGGGATAAATGGAATAAGTGAGTGAGTGAGTTTAGTTTTACGCCGCTTTTAGCAATATTCCATCTATATCACGGCGGGGGACACCAGAAATGGGCTTCACATATTGTACCCATGTGGGGAATCGAACCCGGGTCTTTGGCGTGACGAACGAACGCTTTAACCACTACGCGTCCCCACCGCCCCTAAATGGAATAAAATTAGGTATGGTCGTATAACAAGTCAGATATCGATGTTGATTTGTGGCCTGGTACCACAGTGGGCTAGTACTAGATAACCCGTAATAGCCGACCTAGTATAGTCTGGCACCCGCATACGTTCATGAATATGTCTGTCGCTTAGTCAGTTAAACGATCTTTAAGACGTGGTTAAACACCATAGATAACCTCATAAATCATAAAGGTATACATGTTTATTTGTGACTGAATTGGTCTCCTAAGTTTCTGACATCTTGTTGTCTGAGGTGAAATGCCATAAAATATAACATAATATATACTGTAGGGATCAGGTAGAGAGTCTCTGTCTGACTTCAATGATCCTCGTCACCGTACCCCGCTGTTCCAGTCGCCTCAGTTGCCGCGATTCGCTGTACAACATAGCTGCGTCCCTTCTAAAGGCGCGCCATGGTTGAGGGCTCGAATCTCGGATCGCTCCGATTATAGTACCATGTCTGTCAGGACCATACCCGTGCTCATGGGTTTCAAGAGACTGAACGAATGGCATGCATTACTTCGGGGCTTCCTCCCACATTAACACACCGTGATAGAACGTCACCAGTACGGCGTTATTATTTTTTTAATTATAGGATATTTATATAGCGCACATATCCACACACTAGTGCATGTTCAAGGTATTTTTCCCTCGATCATTGGATGTCAATCTCAACGGCACATCGCATTATCAATCTCAACTCCCTGGGGAGTATACAACTCTTGCAGCCACTAGGCGCACCGAGTTATTGTGGCTTTCTCATCCTAACGATGCGTTAAACCCAACTCAAACCTTCCCATGCCAGAGCATGACATAAGGGTAATACTATTCAAACCGGCATTAAACCAAACTCAACCCTACCCCTGCCAGAGCATGACATAAGGGTAATACTATTCAAACCGGCATTAAACCAAACTCAACCCTACCCCTGCCAGAGCATGACATAAGGGTAATACTATTCAAACCGGCATTAAACCCAACTCAACCCTACCCCTGCCAGAGCATGACATAAGGGTAATACTATTCAAACCGGCATTAAACCCAACTCAACCCTACCCCTGCCAGAGCATGACATAAGGGTAATACTATTCAAACCGGCATTAAACCCAACTCAACCCTACCCCTGCCAGAGCATGACATGAGGGTAATACTATTCAAAACATTCTACTAACTAACTGATTTGAGATCGTACTAGGGTGGTAAAGTGGCCGAGTGGATAAAACGTTAGCTCGTCACACAGGAGACCCGGGTTCAATTCCCCACATGGGTACAATGTGTGAACCCTTTTCTGGTGTTCCCCGTCGTGATATTGATGGAATATTGCTAAAACCCAACTCACTAAAATGGAACTGAAGAAAGATTTATTCCTCGTGGTTTCATTATCTGAAAACCCATCACGGAATAATAATGTGACTGACTACATCTAACGTTATCCGACACCGTATCTTTACGAGTCCCTGAATGCTACTTACTGTATTAATGTCTGCAAGAAAAGACAAGCCAAACCAGACTTATTCAAGCAAACGTCTGAAACCGTCTGAAGTATGTTCCTCGTCTGTTAGTGGTATGCAACTCCCGTATATTCAAAAAGACACATTTATGTCTGTGGGACTGGAAGGAAGCGGAGTGAAGTGTAATAATTCACACACGTCCATTATCCCCCTGTTGTTCACGTCTGCTGTATTCATGCATCTCATTCATAGATGTCGCTGCGACATTTATGCGCCGAAAATGCATTGTGGGATTTTGGGTCTTGTCGTAAAGTAGCCTGACTAATGTCGTGAAAGATCTATGGCAGCTCTACCTAATTTCTCCACGACTTCAAAGCCCCAAATTGCATTGTGGGATATGTGATCCTGCCGTAAAGTGGACAGCCAAATGTCGTAAAAAGATCTATGGCAGCTCGAATTCTTATACTCCACCACGACTTTAAAGCACAGGGTTGCATTCTCGGATATGTGGTCTTGACGTAAATTGAACCAAAATGTGAACAAAATCTATTGCACTTCTGCCTAATTCTCCGATGAGCGGGCACTCCACCGTCTTCTTCGCGTTCAAAGAAATCATTGGCCACTTCACGGAGCCTGATTATAAAACATACAATACAAAAATCGATGACTCGGTATTCAGTTAAAATAGGGCACCAACTGTGCAAAATATAATACCCCTTCAAAGGACAAACCCCAATCCGCCTTTGTATAACCAGCTTCAAAGAGTTAATCAACCTAACCGTATCCCTTTCCTTCTTCAAAATGTTTGCTGCCTTGGCTACAAAGCGTGTTTCAGTCGCATCAGGAAACCATATTGTATATAATGGAGAATGCATTGCTCCAGGGAAACCTCAAATTCCATTTTGTAATAACATTGAAACCATACATTAGTTCAAGATGTGTAGAAAATTTGAACTATGCGGAGATGCCCTTTCTGACGGATATTGGCAAGATAAGCCGGAAGTTCCTTCGTGAAGGGCATTGTCAAGTCGATGAGCACGCAGGGGCTGGATCATGAAGGAAATTACAACTCTCCAACCCTAATGTCATAATTCTCGCTCCTTGTCATGCAACTTGTATATATATTTCTTCGAGACGACGTGCCGGGTTTGGCGTCAGTAGGCCTAGTTATCAATTACGTAGGTACTGAACACCATGTGGTTTAATTCAAATTTCACCGAATGACACAACCACGCTTTCCAAACTAGGTCATTCCATGAATGACTTGGTTAAGCCGTTTCAGGAACTGATGGTAGTCTTAGACGTTCAGAGAAACTTGTCAACTTGTCAACTTGTCAACATCATGAGGGATGCTATTGTATGGCCTCTGCATGGATTTCTTCACTATTGTTTACGAAAATCGCCATGACTACGACTGGCGGTGCTACCGGAAAAGTTCGACAAGCTTACCCTTTTCCACTTTTGGTGTCAACACTAATTTTCAGCAATCCATTCACATAATTTCTACTTTGCCCTTACGGCCTGTGGATTGTGTTTCGGTAAATGCTCTAAACGGACTTTTTATATCGTTGCCGTAAATAATTGGTCTAGAGGCACAGCGTTCGATTGGTCGGCTCAGCTGCCTCCGTGGTTCTACTCCTAATGTCAGTTGAAACCACATCGTCCCCGTCGTTATATTGCCGGAATATTGCGATAGTCGTGTAACACCCCTGACAGAAAGAGCCAAGAGGGAGTTGAAGAGTCTAGCATGGGTTGCTTTGACCAGTGTTAACCCGGATATTGATGGGTGCAGTACTTACCACGCTGCCGGTGGCAAATGAGTGAGTTTAATTTGCTTTCAGCAATTTTTCAGCAATATTACGGCGGGGTAAACCAGAAATGGGCTTCACACATTGTATCCATGTGGGGAATCGAACCCGGGTCTTTGGTGCGACCAGTGAACGCTTTGACCATTGGGCTACCATCGCCCCCCGATGTGAGATTTTTGCGAATTGGGATCAGTGCTGCGTGAAAAGCTTATTACCGTTACCTACCTTGGTTGTAACTGATGACGATGACCTCGATAACGATAATTATGACGACGATAATAACGATAACTGTGGTGGTGACTGTAATTATGGGAATGAAACCTATGATGACAGTAGTGATAATTACACCGACAGCAACAAAACATGTGGATAATGAAGTGATAATGAAGAAATGATTATCTACTCACCGATCTATCTAACACAACACGTAATGTTTTCACTAATGGAGATTCGCACTTCGGAACAATAAGCGTCATATAACGGGACTTGGAACTGCCAAATATTTTCAAAGAGAATCCCGTTAATCCATCACATTCGCTTGTATCCGTCCCGTAGGCTGTCAAGTCAAAGTGCAGGTTGTGGACCCGTCTCTCCGGCATGGGGACATTGTGTTGCTCCGGGCGATCCACGGCAGCCACCGCAGCGTACGCCTTACACGTATGTTGTACGAACTCGTCGCTAAGTCCCATCGTACGCACTGCTTGGCCGTTAGCTCCATCACAAACGATGACGAGTTTTCGCCCTGGGATGTACTCTATTTCTTTTGTATGCTCGCGGGTAAACTGCAAGAAGAGAATGCAACGGTAAAATTGAGGGTCGATATTTTAGTTTGAATCATGATAATATTTTCAAAACGTCCAGATGTTGGACTGAATTAAAATTTGTTTAATTTATTTTTTGGATATTAATTAATTATTTGTGTGAAGCGTATCTTCTAAATAATTTACTATTTAGTATTTAATAAACTAAATCGATGTTTGTATGCCAAAATATGGGAGATTAAGGGTTTCAAAGCGTCAGTGCTACTTGTAACTGTTATTTTGCTTTTTACGACCCATGAAATCTGTTCCGGCAGATGATCGTGGCTGGTTATTCTCTAGCTTTAAATGTATATGCATACATATTGTTATGCGTTCATGGAGTTAGGAGTTTCTGAACAGGTATGCACACTTTGGGTAAATACGCGGATTTACCGAGTTTTGTTTATTTGTTTGTTGTTGTTTACCGCCGCGCCCAGCAATATTCCAGCTATATGGCTGCGGTCTGCAAATAATGGAGTCCAGACAATCCAGTGATCAACAGCATGAGCATCGATCTACGATAGTGGGATACGATGACACGTGTCAACCAAGTCAGCGAGCCTGACCACCCGATCCCGTTAGTTGTCGTTTAAGACAACACGGATTGCTGAAGACCCATTCTAACCATGTGTTAAACGTGTTAAAACGTGTCAATACACAATAAGAAACTAATCTTTTCCACAGCAATTCTAAAGCATTTGATTGTTCAGCTTAACAGTAAACAGGCCATGACGTTCGTTCCAACTTGGACATATATATATCCTAACGCATAGACCTCAAATATTGCACTATAACATCCCTTCTGAGTAAGATTCGGTGCTACAGCCGCCCACCTTAACACACAACCTCCATTAACGTGCAATTGCCATAGTGTTGAGTATTTCCCCCGGGAGGGCAAATCAAGGCTCATGCCAAAATCCCAGCAAACCTACTGAAGAATGCTGAAGCTCTGTGTAATGCCGTGTAATTTAGTTGACAACGTGGGATGATCGAATAGTTGACCCTGTTGATGTCTTGGCGTATTTGCGTGCAAGGAGGAGGGGCTTCCCCCGAATAATTTGCTGTTATCACGGTAACCTGTTGTTTAAGGCTTGAAATGCTGTTATCAACAGGTAATATGGCAGTATTTACATGCGTCATCATGGCGTTTCCCATTAGCGGGATCAAAAGGGAGTCAAGTCATCTTGTTTTGTCTTGAGGTGCATAGGTTTTTCTTCTCGGGATTCTTAGATGTGAATCAGCCTTTTCCTTTTATGTATTTTTGCCTTAAAAGTAATTTTCTCAAAAAGCTTGGAAACACAATTTTCTTATCACCCTATCTCTACCTATGATTGAGTATCACTGTAAGAACAAATACATGAAAATAAACTGACGTTTAGAAGAAAGTACACAGTCACCTGATTCTTTGGTAAAATGTTTTCTTTAAAACAGCATTAATATTTTAATAAGTGTTTTGATTCTGCCTTGTCACAAATCTTGTGCAAGTGTTTCCAAAACACCAGATATTGTACCCAATTACACCATTGCTAGCGAAATATTTATGGTTTTAATGGAAATAGTCCCAAAACACCAGGTGTGTACTTTCTTATGAACTTCAGTATATATACAACGGAATCAGAATATTGCTCACTGTGGGCAGGCAAGTATGAAGCTGAATACACACGCACGCACACACATACGTCCACATGCAGAGGCACACACATTCACAGTTACTTTTAAATGGTGTATTACAGGTGTATCTGAAAGTAGGTCATGCTTAACATTTACGGAAACATCTTGGGTCATGATTGTTCAATTCAATCCAATTCCTTTATTCTCATTCAACCACCATCGGTGGTACAAGAGTAGACAGTACATACAAATTATGCATACAAAAACAAGGTGTAGGTTAATTTTGGTTATATTCGGTGAAGTTTCTTTAGTGTTGAGTTGATGATAGATATATATCTGGAAAGCTTTCTTAAGATTGACAATTTTTTTGACGTAAATAATGATTGAAAAGTACAAAAATTTGGAAACGTATTGAATTTATGGGGAATATGAAGGTCTTGTTCGACAGCAAATGCCTTACATCTAAAAATATAGCGAAATTCATCGGCAATCGCTGGGCTTTTACAAAGTTGGCAAGTTCGGAGTTCTCTTGGTGTATTAGTCCACCTTCCAGTTTCAACAGGTAGATTGTGATTACAAGATCTGAATCGCAGGATTGGGATAGAAACAGAGCTAGGTAATAAAAGGTATTTTTCGAAAGATGAATAGTTTTTCAAGTATTGATAATAAGAATCCGTTGGGCCGCTACGAACACTAACTTGCCAACTTTGGAAAAATTGATCTTTCATATTCTCTCGACCTACATAACAAGGTAATTAGTGCTAACACATAAAGGTTTCTGAAATACATAGCTTAAACCACAGTAATTAAGAATCTTCTGTACATAGTTTAACCAACTGGAATTACGTTATCAGTTTTACAGGAAGAGTTACTAGTTCTAGCTTGTGCCAATAAATAATCATTCTTTTGCAAATTACAATATCCAAAGGCATTCGACCAAGTTCTCCATAAAACATAAACCTTGGAGTGGAGTTTCTAAGACCATTGTCAATTTCAGAGACTTTAGATGAACTTTTCGGTAGCAGCTAAATTTTCGTTACCTTCATCTAATGTGCGAAATAGTTTCCAGTTTGTTGCTAGCCAGTCGGGCTAGATATCCCTGAATTATACTAACCCACAAAATAACTCACTAGCCCGAAATTTGAATGTAGACCAGGGTTTCATCATTAAGCTTCTAATATAATGAATATTTTTATCAGGCCATAATCTTGCATTATTCATAAGTGTATGATAACTTAACAAGTCGGAGAGAGTGTTATATTTACAAAATGACCCCATGAAAATTCACTATCCAGTCGGACCAGTGACTGTGGAGATTTACTGGCCCGACTGGATTTTTACTAGCCACGGTTAGCGGGCCAGTGGCTATTGCGCACACTGCCTTTATCTAAGTTTAAAGTCTATTTTACGCCGAATGGAATCTGCTTCGGTGGATGATGGACACTGGCGATGACCTTTAATTTATCTTTGATATATACAACGAAATATTAATCGTCTAGCTTCCAAGTATATACAATCTATCATTGGAGCAATGTATAACGTACACGACAGAGAGTCATCAAGATACTATTGAAGATAATTACATAGGGATGCTGCTGTCCGTGGAGACGTGGCTGTGTCACGGGGATGGATAGCAGACTCATCTGTTTTATCATTAATTTCGTGGCGAGACTTAGATTAACGGAAGGTTATATCCCGAACGGCTGATGACATTGCGTGCTGGGTGTCGTATGTCACTGCGTCGCGACATATTGATGGTATGCCACTATGGTGAATATCGTTTACATATTGTGGTTGGCTATGATATATTTTTGGCTATGATACTTTGTATAAAACGGATCTGAGTTTTCGCTTTGAAAATTACCTCTTCCACTGCCCATCATTATTCATCATTTATACATTATTTGGGTGGGTGAGTGAGTGGGTGAGTGAGTGAGTGAGTGAGTGAGTGAGTGAGTGAGTGAGTGAGTGAGTGAGTGAGTGAGTGAGTGAGTGAGTAAGTGAGAGAATGGGTAAGTGAGTGAGGGGGTGGGTGAGAGAGTTAATGAATGAGTGGGTGGGAGATTAAGTAAGTGAGGTTGTTTAGATTGTCTTTTTCCTCGATGTTTTATCAAAGATCCCAAAAGACATTAGTAAAATATCACTGGACCCATTAAAATCTCTTTAATTTATCGATCGAATATTTAAAAAGAAAGAAAATGAATAATGGATGATAAAGGAAATGGGAATGTGATACCGTTAAGGTATTTTTACAAACGAGAAATACGTTCAACATATAGTAGCAGCAGCTGTGGCTGCAGAGTGAGTGAGTGAGTGTCTGAGTGACTTCGTGATGTCAGTGTGTTTATGAGTGAGTGAGTGAGATGGTTCAGATATCCGTGGAACTATTTTCTCGCTATATCCCCCAAGCCGAAGAACGACACAAGCAAAATATATGACACCATCTAAAATCACATAAATAAACTCTGTCAAAAAAGAAACGCAACCCCTGTATTTTAGAGATTTTGATCTGAAGTTTTAAGACGACACAGCATTTTTATTATTTAAGACAGAAGTCTGAAATTTGGCAGAATAATAACCAAGATGGGCATGTTTAAAATTGTCATTTCAAAAGTCATCTCACAGACACCAGTTTGTCACCAGGGGGGCGTCTTTCTCAGTATCTCGTATGAGCACCACGAGCTGCAATCACTGCACGGCATCTCCTTGGACAAGAACGGATAAGACGCCGGATTCTTTCCTGGGGAATGGCTCTCCACTCCTCCTGCAGTGCAACGCCGAGCTGTTGCAGCGTCTGTGGCGGCGGCTGACGTTGACGTACGCGTCGACCCAGAGTATCCACAGGTGTTCAATAGGGTTGAGGTCTGGTGATTTAGAGGGGCTATGGCAAGACATTGACGTTGGAATTCTGCAGAAAGTTCATTGTTGCACGTGCAGTATGAGGCCGGGCGTTGTCTGGTTGAAAAATCTGTGTCTGTTGGTCAATAATCGGGAGAAGGTGAGGCTGTAATACGTGGTTGATGTAACGTTGGGCTGTCAGGTTCCCTGGAACGATCACCAAGTCTGATTTCTGGTTGTATGAGATGGATCCCCAAACCATAACGCTTTCTCCGCCAAATCTGTCCCCCCTGTCGAACGCAGATGGGCGCAAAACGTTCATGACGTCTCCTATACACACGTTTTCTTCCGTCGTGATGTTGCAAAAGAAAACGGGATTCATCAGAAAACCAGATGCGCCTCCAGTTTTGTAAAGTCCATATCCTTACGTTGTTGCACCACCTGAGTCGTCGGCGGAGATGTAGGGGGCGTAGTACAGGTCCAACAACTGGTCTACAGGCACGTAAACCCGCTTCTTTCAGACGGTTCCTAAT